TAAATATTATTAGTACCTATCTTTTTCTCTCGATTTTTATATTTTACTAGTTTCTATAGAACACGTTATATGCGTGTTTTTTTTTTTAATTTATTGAAATATATAATTGATTTAATTGTATTAAATATTTGTTAAAATTTCTAAAATAAAATATGTAAAAAAAAATTTCTAATAATTATATAAAATAAATATTAACAATAATATATTTGAATATATGTTTTTATAAAAATAAATTAAAATATTATATATTACTTTTTATAATAATTACTAAGCATTTGACATAAATTAAAATATTTTTAAAAAAGGTATAATGTATATACTAATTAAATTAATTATATACTATCTAAATGTATATATAATATACAAATTAAATTAATTATATTATTAAGAAAATGCATGCATCTAATTAATTAATTATATAAATAATTAGTAGTCCATAATGATATGGTTTAATGTGGTGCTAACGTCGCCTAGCTTTATATATATACGATTTGGATGTATTAATAATTAAATAATATATTTTATTATGTTTAACTATTAATATTTTCATTAAAAAATATTTCAGCATTTAACTTATATTAAACTATTATTTAGTAATTAAATAATTTTTTAAAAATATTAAACTTATTTAAACCACAATTTAATTATTTCTAAGCATTAAATACTCCATTCACCTTTATACTATTTTATTTTGATTAAAACATTCTATAGTTTTGTTTTTCAAATATAACATGAACTTTCAAAAACTATTCTAATCAATTCCTATCGCCAAGTGACATCAACTGTTGTTTACTTCAATACTGTATGGTCGTTAATGCGATCACGTGACAATTTTTTGTTTAATTAACTCGTACGTGTCTCTCTTATAATATATAATATGTAGCATAAATTTTGTTTTTATATCTAAATTTATTAATAAAATTTAAAAAACTATATATATTCTTTTAATATATATATATAGACACACAAGCTTATTAGGGAAGCCTTCTTAAGCTTCCTGCGGAATATTAGAACATCAGAAAAATATTTTTTAATGAAGCTTGGAGAAAAAGTTGCTCCATTTAAAATTTATATATTTGGAGAAAAATATTTTATCAAAATGAAATAATACAAGAATGAATTATATATTTAAATTGGTAAATTTAAAAAGTAATTATTATATTAATTAATTGTATAAATACCTAAATGAACTATAACTATTAATTTTTATTAAAATTGCTCCTTACAATTTTTTCTTTTTTTCAAATAGAACCTAACTTTTGAAATTGTATTCAAATTAGCTCCTCCGTTAAATGAGGTTGACATTGTTTATTTTTATGCCATATGGTAACTAAAATACTTGAGAGACATAATTTTTATTTTTTTAAAAAAAAAAAGTGTCATGTAAGCATCATGCGTTATAAAATATTTTTATTTTTATATTATTAAAAAATAAAAAATTTAATTTAACATTTATTTTTTAAAACTTATTTTATCATTTTTTCTACTTAAAAATTTCCACTTCTATAAAATCCAAGTGGATGATCTTAATGAGATTATTCAACAAACTCAAAAACTTATGTTTGGCTCAGTCACTCTATGAACAAGTACAAATTAAGAAGTTCGGGTTTGATAATTAATCCTACTTGAAAATTTATAGTTTACCAAAACGATTCATTTGAAGGATGTTACTTAGGTCCTACCTCCATATCTATCCCAAATAGGTTTCAAAGCATGGCACCAAATGTTTCATCCATCTTGACCTTTTACTTACACCATTCTTAATGGTTGAATGTTCATCAATTTTTATACTTCACATACAACATATCCAGGCTATTTCAACTCCTCATAACCATACTGTGCCAAAAGGCTCATACTTTACATGTCTTACCTCCAGTGGCTTTCTCACCTCATATGAATTGAAGTATGACAATCTCTTTCAATAGCTCTCTATTGATCGCAAGTCTATAACAACCCAAAAGAAGAATGAATTATATTTTAAATTTAAAATTTTTTTAAATATATTTCCAAACTTTATCTCTTATGTGATTATGGATGGTGGATCTCTTCTTCCACCTATCTATTATCTTTCACGGGAGACACAATCATATTAGTGCCCTCAAGAATGCCCAAGGGCAATGAAACTCTCCTCCCTAAGATTAATGGAGGATCGAACCTTATTGTTAATCTTACACTAGTTTTAGATAAAATAATTATCTAATATCTTATCTTTTTATAGTGTGCATAAGCCATACTAGTGAGTTTGCACTGAGCAAACAATTTGGTCAAATGTAGGACATGCAAATTTATCATAGCAACCTAAGTTCCATACATTACTCTTTGCTGACAATCTATTCACTTTTGGAAAAGTTATAATTCTTTAAATTTAAAGAACATTGAGATGTCAGACAATATTACACCTAGTATGACAAAACCTCAACCCCGTATATCCTCCATTACTTTCAATAACAACATGCCCATATTAACACATAAAACTCTTAAAGCTCAAATAGGTGTGAAGTTTGTGAATCTGTCAGGTACATCTTTGGACTTACCTATTTTGCCTCAATATAGTGGTTATTTTGATTTTTAAGATATCATTTTAAAGATGAGAAATAACCTTGCAAGTTGGAAAATTTTCACTCTCATATAATGGTCGAACCACTCTCAAAAGATTAGTTTCTTTAATGATTTATCCCCATATTACATGGCTACGCTGCTATGACCTACAAAAACTTGTATATAAATCAGTCAAGTAGCCACAAAATTTTGGTGGAATTTTTCCTTTAATACCCAACATCCATTTTGTGTGATTGGTTGGAAACCCTATGCATTCTTAAAGAATTTGAAGATTTAAGGTTTCTTAAGGTCAAAACACTTGATTTAGTACTTGTAACTAAAGTGGCTTAGAAAGTCCTATAACTAACATGCTTAATCATACAGCTTATGAAGACTAACTATTTTAAGAATGATTTTTTTAGCCTAAGCTTTATTAAAAACACATATTTCATAATGTGAAAGAATATTTTCAATTCTTGTTCTTTGTTGTTTTAAGAAGCTTATAAAGTGGTAAAAAATTAGAAATCCGTTAATATTTGACAAGATTCATGGGTTCTCAGTCTTTCAAATTTTAAACCTCCTACTTAATTTTTTCAAATCATAGTTTTAATTAATTGACTCCTCTGTACTTATACTAGAACTGCAACCATATACCTAATTCATATTCAATAAGCAATTGTCCATGATAACTGGCCAAGACATATACACCCACAAAAGTGCATCCCTTTTATATCATGCAAGTTCCTAAGCTAAATTCAAAAGCTCAGCCTTAAAATTTCAAATATAGAAAACCATACAGCAAACTCACTTGTAAAAAACATAAAATGCATTTGTGGAGAATTCTTACACATTCACCTTGGACTGGAATTCCACAATTGGAATTATGTGTTATGTGATGGTGAAAAGAAAACTTATGTTCAACTATTTCTTCATCATTTGTTGTTGAAGTTGTGTGATTATCTTCTCTATGAAGAATCATGTTACACCATTTGGGCATTTTACTCTCTTAAAATCAGTATAAGAACTTCTGTTAACGAGAAAATGACATTACAAACCTTGATTAAACTTCTTAAAGCTCATTTTTCTATTTACATCAATACTCATAGATGACATATAATATTATCGAAATATAATATTTTTTAATTTAATTATCTTATATTTACAAGTTTATCGACCTTTATTTTTCATAACGAAACTAATAGATCGCGTCAATTTACTATAGATTTTATACTAAGGTTGCTTCAATTCTCTTATATTTGGACATCCTCAAATGAACATAGACTTGACATATTCACTTTGTTACTATCAGTCATAGTAATTAGTGCTCGTATTATAATGATTCTATGATAAGATAATTAGAGATTATTGGTGATTAAATACTTTAAAATCAAAAAAAGATATCTCTTCGAATTATTACAAAAATCATTATGCTTATAACTTGCAGTCCCATCTCGAGCCTCCAGGTTGCCATTAGTCAGAGTAACTCCAACCTTTTCGTTAAGTCGTTGATGGATAGATTGACTTCCATCGGCTTTCTTGTAATGGATTTTGTGTAGTTAATTAGAAAATTGATATTGTCTCTTCCTAATTATGTTATTCAACGAGCTCTATGTTCTCATAATTTTGTAACCCCCTTATTAGCTAATCGGGCTTCTATACATAATTTTGGGGATTCCAAGCTGTAACTTCTCTTCTTGCTAATGTAAAATTTATCTTTTTTAAAGAAAAAAACTATAAATATGACAAGTAAAAAAATGTGATGAAAATATAATTTAATAAAATAAATAAATAAATAAATAAAATAAAATCCTAAAGTAGGCGGGATTCTTTGCATTTCGTAGCGGCGCTTCCCTGTTTGAGCGGCGATCCTGTTGTCTCGCTCTCTTCCTTCTTTCACGGGAAAGCGGAGACTAACAGCTTATTCATCCTCGTCATCATCATCATTGTCATCATCAATGCAAACCCTTTCTATTCCTTCTTTTTCACTTCTCTCTCATGTGAATGCTCTTCCTCTTTAATCTTTTTCCTTTTTAACTTTGCATCCATGGAAATGATAACTTCCTATGTAAGCCTCGTTAATAGTACGAAATTCTATTATAATGGTAACAGTAATAATTAATTCTTCTTCTTCTTCTTCTTCTTCTTCTTCTTCTGTGTATATATATATATGTATGTATGTATATTATATTATATTATATTCATTCTTATTTATTTGATTCAAATGAATAACATTTTTGTCCTTGTTATTGCAGTTGTGGTGGCTTCAAGTTTTATCGATGTACGCTTTAACATGACAATTCATGGTTGATTTTGCATTGCAGCTGATATTTTTAGTTGAAATTGAGTTCTGCCGATTTCCTCTTACCTGCTTTTGCATGTTCCCCGCCCATTTCCCGGTACGATATCCGATCCTTTTATTCTCTCTCTCTCTCTCTCTCTCTCTCTCTCGTTCGTTTACGGAATATATTATTGAAGAATGGAAGCTCTTTACGGATTTCTATGGTTTTGCTACAACGTTTATGGATTTTGTTGCTACATATTTTGAAATTCCTTTCTGTAGATCTCTCCATTGCTGCATTTGTTTAGGTTTAAGATAATAATCGAGGTCTTTTATGATTCCTCTTTTTCTTATGCGTATCCGCATGTGTGTCTACGTATGCACGTAAATGGTGGAAAAGAAGCCTGGACAGACTTGGAAGCACACGTATAAGGACATGTAATATGTTTATGCATACACGCGCGTGTATTTATATATATATATATATATGCATGCATGTATTAGTATATCTTTATTTGTATGTATCTTCGTGATTTATATGGTTGAAACTACGCGCTCATGTTTTGTTTTTTGTCTTTGGAGTTATGGACTTGCTTAAATGTGAACTTTTTGAATCTCATCTCTCCTTGTCAGAAGTTTTTATGGTTTTTGAACAAAATTTAGGAGGTTATTGTTCTTTTTTTTTTTGGTATTGGAAGAATGACAGGATATTCTCATTAAACCAGGTACTTCTTTGTGTATGTAATTAAGATTTTCATATATAAAAATTAAAGTCTTCAGATATTTGCTTCGGATTTCTTGCATGTTAATATCATTCACTTGAAAATTCTGGTTATTATTATTTTTATTTCTTCCATAGTTGTAAGATTTGGTGCATTGTTTTTGAGCATAAACAAAATTGATGGTTGGTATTTTGTTATTTTTATGATAGTGAATAAATAAAGCTTATCTATGATGGAGAAGAAGAAGTATCCGATTGGACCAGAGCATTACACTCTCTATGAAGAGGTGGGCCAAGGTGTGAGCGCTTCAGTGCATCGTGCCCTGTGTGTACCTCTAAATGAGATTGTGGCGATCAAGATTCTTGATTTTGAGCGAGATAACTGTGATTTGGTAGTTGTCTTGTTTTTTTAATATTGCATTTGTTACTATAAGTACTTCGTACTTCCTCTTCGTAGTTTGTGGTTTAGCTTGTTCTAATCCCTATGGTGCCTTTTATTATCCAGATAAACTGATTCTTATAGTTATTTGTGTTCCGTTTTTATCTGCATAAACTAATTTGCATATGCTATCAACCAGATCACATCCTCAATCTTTGTTTATTTATTTATATTTTTGTTTTAGTTTTTTACTTTCATGAAAAAAAGTAGTTTCTCAATACAAGTTACCTGAAGGATGCAGGCAACAAGAATAAGCTTTAGAAGACTGTCAAAAAGTTTGTTGATTATTCATGGAATTAGAAATCTTGAAGAGAACTGTATTTTGACTGATATTTGATGTACAAAATGAAAGCTGATCCAAACTACCTTTCTATTTTGGAAAAAAGAAGTGGATTCTTACCATATTTGACAGGCAACTAGGCAGAATGAATTAAAAATAAATGTCTGGATTATATACGTTTGTTCTTCTTCTCTTGAGTTTTAGTTTTGCAAATTCTGCAAATCCTGTGAATGGTTTTGAATCTTCTCGAATTAGGAGTAACAGATTTATGTTTGTATATGGTGATAAGACTTTTAATTAATGTGTCCAGTGGTTACCAGTCAAAAGATGTGTCCATTAGCTGTGATTGGCTTTTCCATTAATATTAAATAGGCTTACAAAATTTTATGCAAGAGTTCAAGATATTTAGCTTCATAAAGTCAGCCAATGAAGAAAATTGATTTCGTTTCAAATTTATTGTTGTGTCATCATCAACATGATGTTGTGGCTTGCTATAATTGCTGCTTTCTACTGTTAGGCGTGCCCAATGTTTCTGTTCTGTATAGGAGAAAAGTTAAAAGAAATTCAGTGGTGTTTCTGAACATCCATATTGTGCTTTTAGTCATTATAGGATTTATCATTTGGCATTACTCTATGAATTTTGTAGGTCTATGGAAAACAGATTGAAAAATATGAATATTTCAAAACTCTATAAGTCAAGTCCATTTTATGACAAAAAAACTCATTTGCTCTTGCAGTTTTTTTTTTTCCAGAGTAGTCATTGCTACAATTATTCTGGTTACTGACATACTTCTTTGGTTGCATTTCTTTTTTGCGTGCTTTTGACAGAATAACATTTCGCGTGAAGCACAAACCATGATTTTGGTCGATCATCCTAATGTTCTTAAATCACATTGTTCCTTTGTTAGTGATCACAACCTATGGGTTGTCATGCCATATATGGCTGGTGGTTCTTGTCTTCACATACTAAAGGCTGCATATCCTGATGGTTTTGAGGAGGTAGTTATAGCAACTGTATTGCGTGAGGTATTAAAGGGTTTAGAGTATCTCCACCATCATGGTCACATACATCGAGATGTCAAAGTGAGTTCTTAATCCTCTGTATAATTTTGTTCTTTTTAAAATTTATCCATCACAAAGTTATCATCTTAACACTTGTGCTACGATCTGATATTTAATTGAAAATTTTAATCTTTCATCTTATGCTCCCTCTCTCTCTCTCTCTCTCTCCCCTTTCTCTCTTTCTCAGTCTCTCTCTTTGTATCTGAATTATATTCCAAATAATCTAAACTTTTGAATTAAGAATGGAACTGATATGTAATTCGCTTCTATTCTTGAAGCTTCTGCAGAAAAAGTTGCACAGAAAACTCTAAATGTTCATATGAGTTCTCTCTCTATCTCTCTCTTCCTCTCTCTCTCCTCTGTATCCCTCTCTCTCTGTCTCTCATTGGCACGCCCTCCATTAGAACTCCCGCCCTAACTTGCTTATTATTTGCTTCATGCCCCTCTTTCCCTATCCATGGACTAGTTTCAAAAGGTTAGAAACCTTCTGTTGATTATTTTGTTCTGTAACATGGGCTAGGAGTTTAATAATCACCTAGTGAGGTGGGGGCATGGTCAAGCAATTGATACAGAAAGGTGGCTGTGGTATTCTCTTTTACTATAACCAAGGTCCTCAGTGTGGTGGAAAATGAGAGTTTTTGGAGAAGGGTGAAAGTGGGCCAAGCATCTTGGATGGGATTTCAAACTGAGGTAGGGTGTCCTATGGAGTTGGACTATAGCGTTGGGTCTAGATGGAATGACTTTCTTGCATTATTTAGATCTTATCTTGGTAAATATCTATTTTTGTAAGATCCTTTATGTGAGGACTTACATTTGAGGCACTTCTTTTTAGATCTTTACTCTATTATGAGATTGATGCATCAATACAAGTTAGGGAAGTTCAAAAATTGGTGATGCTTCTGAAATTGATATGACCATGGCTTCGGAAAGTCTCGTTTATGGAGCCTTAAAGCTAATGGAAAATTTGATATAATTTCTTTTCAATGCTTGGCACTATCTTTACATTGAGAAGACTGAGGTGCAAGGAAAGGAAAGCAAGGGAAAACAAGCATTCTTTTCCCGATAATTTTTTTTTAAAGAGAAAGAAAAGAGGGGAATGGTCAACAGATGTCATATTTTCTTAAATACTAGTCTTTTTTTTCAATCCTCCAAATTTGGGGAGAGGAGAAAGAAATGGGGTTTAAAGTTTTCAGTAATAAAATTATCTATTTTATTGTCAACTGTTCATTTGTTAGTTTATTTTATTTATTTATAAATTATTACTAAAAAAGCTAGAAAAAATTACAAAAAAGATAGAGGATAAGGTATACTCGTAAAAGAGGAAACCAAAAAACAATGAAACAAAATAGAAAAGCCTCAACGTAGAATAGTCTCCCAGTTCTGCAATAACTGGATTAGTTTATCTCTTGCTTTCGAGATCAACAGAATGGCCTCTTAATTCCTTTGCAGGCTAGATAATTACATATTTTCAGATTGTGTACTTTGTCTCATAAAGATGCCCCCAAGAAGAAAAACTAATCTCTAAAATGGTATTTCGTTAAAATATGTTGTAATTGGATTTTTGTTTAAAAAAGAAAAACAGGGTCTAAAATATTCATTGTAATGTATCACTTCCTTTCCTTTCTACATTTAAAGTAAAGAAAGAATTACAACCTTTTCCCTCTTTCATTTCATTTCCGAAATTCTAATTATCTTAATAAGCAAAATATAATTCTTTTTCTTTTTTAACCGTCAGTACTTTTCCCTTTCTGTTCTTAACTTTCTTTTTCTTTACTAATATCTATCTGAAGAGGTTGCCTTCTAGTGTCTTCATGAAATGTGATCCTGATTTTACTAGCCATTTGGAAAAGGGCACTTCTCTAGATGCTGCTTTCTTCGCTTGGGTCACTTGGTTGAGGATTTTGACTATACAATAGGAGGAAAATGGAAAGAGCCAATATCTATTTCTTTAGTTGGATGTGACTTGAATAAGTCAATAATGAGATGGCTATCCAGGTGTAATAGCTTATGATCTTTAGTTACTGATAACACTTGAAATAGCTATTTAATTGGATTGCTGTTCCTTGAACATAAAAGATAGCTTTTTGTGACTCCATGAATTTTAAGTCAGAGGTGCCTTAATAGTGTTCATCAGTTTTTGGCCTTAATTCCATAATTGTTTTTGCCAACATTTACGCCCAAAATTGTTTTTCGTTAGTTTTGGACTTAGTTTTTGTAAAGAAATGCCAAATTACCTTATGAAGTGACAGCAACTTCTGCCAACTAGATTCTTTTATGTTTTTCTTTTAATTAAATTTTCAAATTGTTTAAATAAATAATTTTAAAAGAAATTATATAATTGTATATGTGGAATATTATTTTTATAATTTGTTATTGTAGTTCCTAAAAAAAATTTAGAAATTTATTAATTCTAATAAGTTTTATGGTTATAAATAATGAAATATAATTATAACCTCCCAAAATTGTTACCATATTTAATTTAAAACGGAAGAAGTACAACTAATTTATCATTCATGGGTATTTTGGTCCTTTAGAACTTATTCTATTCTTTTTTAAAATAGAAAATTTATTTTTATTCTTCTTCTAACTTAAATCAAATGTGTGTTGTATTTCAAAATACAAACCAAAGTTGTAATATAATCAGAATCATGTAACAGCCTTGTTCAATTCCTAGTTAATGATTACTGTATTTCACTCTTGTTCCACTGAACCAACCAAACCCCTACAAGTCCATGACCTCTTGGGGTGCTCATGGGTTAGGCATTATGGGAATTGACCTTTAGATGTGTGAGTTTATTTTGGTTGGTCGTGCTGGAAGTCCATGAATCACTTTCTTTTGTGGTGCCTGCAGATTAGACATTATTGGGAATTGACCCATTGGATGCAATATGGTTTGTTCCAGTGATTGTTCTTTCAGTTGGAATCAAGATGTATGCTTGGTTACTCAACTGAGTAGAGCCACAAGACTTTAGTTCTCATCCCTTTAGTCTTGTTATTGGTAGTTTGGGAGAAAAATAGATGAGCTTCTTATGGGATTGAAAGTTTTTTTGTTCACTAAACATTCGGGTGAAAGGTGCTTTATGTTTGACCTAGACCCTTTCTAGAGTTCATTAGTTTTTCTTATGGTTGGGTGGCACAGCATTGATGTTTTATGGATACTTTCTTTTAACAAAGTCACAAGGCAAAAGATACATGCCGCATTAGAAACAAATGAAGAAAGAATCAACTTTACAATGAGGGGAGTGGGTTGGGGTATGTAGGTTACCTTTTTAATTGTACTATACCAATAATAATCATTTAGATTTTGACCAAGATTGTCCTATTATCTCTTTTAGGCTGGAAATATTCTTATTGATGCACGAGGTGGAATCAAGTTGGGAGATTTTGGTGTTTCTGCTTGCCTTTTTGATTCAGGCGATAGGCAACGCATGAGGAATACATTTGTGGGCACACCTTGTTGGTATGTGTTTATTCATTATGCATGCATATAGTTGCGACTTCTAGTTTTCTTCAGGGTAATACGGTGATGGCAAATAATATTGGTATATCTAACTTAGTCAATGGTTATGAGAGTGAAACAAATAGTTTTCAAACTTATAGACAATTTCTTACTTGTCTATTGATAGGTAGTTAATATGGAACCAGAAACTACTCTAAATCATACAGTATGGTTATTCAATGAT